TAAAAGAAGAATTCCAAAAGTAAAGGGCAACAGGTATTAAGAAAGGGTCCTCCGAAATGGTGAACCTGGATAATTGGAGAGCTTTGAAAAGGCAGAGCTCTTGAAGATCCAGAGTCCTATCAGGGACAACCCGATCATACCATTCTTGCCACTCTGGTCTCATCGTGGGCCAGTAGCTATGGGGGCGGTTCATCCTCCAACTTCCCCAGTCAAGACCACCTTCATAAAGGAGACAATGGTCCTCTAGATGTAGATATAGAACTGAAAGCTCAGTAGGAATCACCCTGAAGATGGGCCCAAACACATACTCTTGCTGCTCATGACGACGAGGAATGAAGATGCGTCCGTCAATGACGCTTTTCTCACCGGCCTTGTACTTCTCACACTCTGCGTCAATAATCCTTTTCAAGGTCACAGACGGACTCGCACGCTTCACGACCAGTATTTTCAAAGAAGAAGAAGCTATTGATAGAGAGTTTTCTCAGAAGACGAAGTCGGAAAAAAGAGTAGAGAAAAAGGAAGGTCAGTAAAGATGAAGGGTTTATGTGATAGGCAAATAGGTGAATTCAAAGCACGAAATAAAAGGGTTTTAAAAATTTTGTCTAAAAAATATACCCAGTCGTGTTGCACGGACGGAATTCACAAAGAAGTACTAAAGTTACGGATGCAAAAAGTTTCTTTCTATATTGATAATTATGGAGGGAAACATATCTCAAATACTGATGTCAGTTTCGAAATAAAATATTTGGCTCCAAAGCCAAATTTTGGCGCCAAAATGAAATGACAAACGGCTTCGAAAGAAGGAAGCCGACTTCGAAGCACATTCCACGCCTCACAGTGAAAGAGTGCTTGGGTATTTGTTTACTTGAAAAGGATTAAGGACATGTTTGTAGGTTTCTAAATGAGAGTAAAATCCTTCGAAGCAAAACTTAAAATACTTTTCGGTTAGAAATTGTTGTTCTAAGTTTCAAACCAATAGTTGGTTTTATAGTATACAGAAGAAATCACTTTTTTCAAATAAAACAGTGTAAGAGAGGATTCCATATTTAGTCTGTTTGTTTGAAAGAAAATTAGTTGATTCGAAATTATTTGATTGTATTAACCATATGTTGGGAAATTGAATATGATCGAATCAAGTTTCGAAGGGTAAAGTTGGTTAATTCGAAGCTGATGGATGAAGAATTATGTTAGCCCTAGGGTCGGTATGAAAGGCAAAAATTGCTTTCTCAAAAGAAAAGACTTCACACTTTAGAAGAGTTTGAGTCGAGATGGAGTTAAAGCACATCAACCATACAGTTCATAATTTGAGTGCTAAATCAAAATTTAACAAATGAAATTCGGAAAGCCCAGTTTTATTGATAAATGTTGTTGATACTAGAGTTCATTTGATTACATTCACGATTTCATAGAAATACGGAATGGACAGAGTTACAAGGTCATGAAATTTATTCCAACAAAATTCAATAAACGAAAATTCTTTTCCTACTCTATCTTCTATCTTATCCAAGTTTGGCTTGTCTAATTGGTAAGCCCTTAATTGAGAAGTGAGTTATTGGGCTTTCACTTCGAATTCTATTTGTTTTAAGGCTTTATCTGTGGCATCCATCTCCTCTTCTTCATGCACTCCACTCATTGTAACATCCTCGCCATGCTCAGAATCCTGGCTCTTGAAGGCCTCATAGTCATCAAGAAGGTTCTCTGCCTCGTATTGAACCTGAATTCGAGCAGAGAGGGCTTCATCCAAAACTTCACTGGTAATGGAAACTTGGAAGTGCCAGTTAAGCAGGAGAGGAAGTTGGTCTAAAAAAGTATAAAGTTCGATTTGGGCCATAGGGTTGAGAACATGACTTCAAGACATAATGTCACAAGCCCATAGAAAGTTTTTGTGGGGAATGTCATCTCGAAGGACTTCAAAGGATACATGAGAGAAAGCAGTAAGTAAGGTCTGAGCCCTAAACTGTTGATAAGGAGTTAGAGGCATTGGGGCCTGGTAGGGGGTGAAGTGTTGGCCCTCAGAGATAGTGAGTTTTAACTCATCAATCCAATTTGGATTGAAAGGCAGAGGAAGAGCAGTTAGAGTTTCCCTGATCGAATCTAGGAATTCAGGACGTTGGACACTTCGAACTATCCAAGATGGCAAGGTAGAAGTATACCATGATGAAAGCAGATTGTCCTTAAGAATGCGTATACGGTCAATAGGAACATATGGGTATGCTACAGAACTGCGTTTAGAGGGAGGGATTTCAAGAGGGTCATCGAATTCTGGGAATCGGTGATGAATGCGTTCTCTCATCTGAGGTTGAGTAGGGGTAAGCCAAGTTTCCCAGCCAGAAGTCGTAGAAGAAGAAGAAGCAGTAGCTTCATCCCATGCGAAAAGCTTTGTTGCAGAAGAAAAGCTTCCGATATCCATGATTGCAAATTTGTGTTCTAAAGAATCGTAACCAGTAGGTTCTTGGTTTGAAGGTCGGTGATTTGCGAAAGCTTCCATAACTTGTATAAATAGAGGTGGATAAAGGTGGCTAATCAATGCATGAAGGTTCTTTCGAGGACGAACAGCGTCATCAAATAACTCTTCGTATGCTTGATCAATGTAAGAAAAGATTGGCTTGGCCATAAAAGATGTATCAGTCTTTTCGAATACTGAGATAGTGGGAGTGTTCAAGGGTTAGAAGAGAATTTAATGCAAATGATGAATGACAGTTGCATTTTTGGGAAATGCAAAATTCTTGGTTCGAAGGTCGGTGATTTGCGAAAGCTTCCATAATTTGTATAAATAGAGGTGGATAAAGGTGGCTAATCAATGCATGAAGGTTCTTTCGAGGACGAACAGCGTCATCAAAGAACTCTTCGTATGCTTGATCAATGTAAGAAAAGATTGGCTTGGCCATAAAAGATGTATCAGTCTTTTCGAATACTGAGATAGTGGGAGTGTTCAAGGGTTAGAAGAGAATTTAATGCAAATGATGAATGACAGTTGCATTTTTGGGAAATGCAAAAGCTTATGCACATTTTAAGACGTGGGTAAAATACCTTGTTCCACTAATATCACCAAGTATTGGGTATATTAGTGCGGGAGGTAATGTTGGCTACATATTTTGTACAAGCCAATCACAGTTCAACACGTGGCAGAATGAGGGCAGTACGGGAAGACAATTCAAATTTTCAATCATAATCACACACGTGGCAGTCAACATTGGTTTATTATAGATTTGCATAGCACTAAATCAGCAAAGAGATGCAAGATGACGTGGCCTTAACGGTTACTCATATATTTAAATTCAAAAATCAGGAGGGAAGCCTAACTGCATGTGGCATAGTGGAGCTAACGTAAGGAAGCATGATCAGTGATCATGGAGGGATGGTTCGACAATTCGAAGTCCCTTTCGACCGTTGTCATTAAGAAGTATAAATAGCAGAGAAGGCCTCAGAAAACGCCCCAGACTCAGATCCAAAAAATCAATTTTATCTACTTTATTTTTCCTTTCAGTTTTTACATTTCTGACTTCAAATTCCTACACTGCATTTCGTTCATATGAGTAGTTTTCAAGTAGCTTGTTGCTGTAAACCTCTACGAGGCTGATTTAAATCTTTGTAAGTCTTTCATTTTGCTTAATAAAATACTACAATTGTTCTTCATTTAATCATTGTTTGCTTGATTCTCCTAAACAAAACCACTAATAAAAGTCATCTTCATTGAGGCTGAAAGAACTAAAATACAATCGTCTGATAATTGGTTGACAATTAATATTCTGTAAGGACCGATTAATCCTTACTGACACGTTCACAATTACAAAAATAACTTTCGAAAATCAAAAAAAGCCAACAATATCCCTTTTAGTTTGTTTGCTTTAGAAATTGTCATTAAATTTTTTCTTTTCATTTGTTGTCCATTTATTGATTACTACGTAATGAGATTTTGACATTTCAATATTAATATTTATTGTCCGTCACTCTCCAACATTGCCCGATATATGCTCAAATTACTGACACCCGTAATGAGATTTTGACATTTCAATATGAAAAATGCTTGGGAGCACTAATTAGTGCTCCCACTAATTAGGTGGCAGTAGGTCCCGTCATGAATGATGTGATGTTTTGGTCTTGAAGTTGTAATTTTTTTTTATTTTTTTTATTTTTTTAATGTATTAGTGCTATTAGTGGTGATGTTTTTAGTGAGATGAATCATTGTTGTTTCAATATTAATATTTATTGTCCGTCACTCTCAAATATTGCCCCATATATGCTCAAATTACTGACACCCATATCTATGCCGACACGGTTATTTAAAACCATGCAAGTAAAGCTGCACAAACACAACGGCACAAGCACCATAAGCTTTGCACAAACACAACAGCACAAGCACCTTACGCTTGGCACGGTGGTACTGTAACCACACCTTAGAATGTGGCGAGAGAAAGATCAAAGATTCAAGCTAATAGAATAACAACCCCTTTAGCTGTAATATAATTTTACTAACAAATTAATATCTTGACCTCAAAAAAAAAACAAAAAAATACCTAAAATAATAAAAATAAAAATAAAAATAAAAATAAAAATAGACAAAATTTATTTTACCCCTTTCTAACTATATTTGAACCATAAAGGGATAAAATGCTCCAATCTCAAACCATGAGGAGCTAAAACATAATTTGCCCATGAAAAAAACAAAAAACCCTCACAAATTCATTTCTGCCAAGGAGATTAGGTTGCAGGGCATGAAGGGAGGAGTGTGATAATCTGAATATATTCCAGGGGGATTAAACTTTAACAATTTTCTTCTCAATAACTTTCCCTATAGCACACAATCCAAGTGCAATCCAAATATTCAATATAGACCTTTCGCTTTAAACACTCGTAAATAGATAATTTTCCAGTATAAAAAATATCTACTTCAATCCACCTCCAAGACCCTGCAGAGAGTCTAATGCACTGAAACCGGCCGTCATTTATTTTGTATGTGCAAGTGTGTAAATGAAAAACCACCTGTAAGACTCCAAATATCCACAATGAGGCAAAGTAATTTATTTAAAAAAGACGATAAAGGGAGAAAAAAAAATAAATTTGTACAACATATGTTAGAACAAAAAAAGAAGCATTGACCATATACAGCAGCAATTTTTTTAGGGCAAAGTTTGGCACACTTGGCCTCTTCCCAGATATCCACTTCAAAAGCCCTTTCTCCTGAGCAAGCCCCCCACAACCTGAGCCAGGCTATATTGGAAACTTTACAACATTCCTAACAAGTTAGTCATCATCATCCGATACACAAACAACGTCAGTCACTACACCTGAAGTGGCAGCCAAGTTAACCCTCTCACTAACTCCTTCGCTACCTGGTGCTCCGAATTGTGATAGGTCAAGCAAACCAAATTTCAAACCCAAATTTGGTAGAGGCGGCAAAACGTTGGGTGGATGTTCACAAGGTTGGCTATCAATGTCAACAACCATCCCTGCCACAGGTGGAGATGAGTTCTGAAGACTTGGCAACCTTCCGCTGATTTCATGCTGGGGTGGTGGTGGTGGTCGGGGTAAAACTGGGAGAACTAAGGGGGAAATTGTAGGAAGATTTCTTTGCGCATGTTGACTTGGCAACCCCCGTGGGAGTGAGGGAATACTTGTTGCGGACATGGACGACGAAGGTCTAAATGGTAGAAGGTGTGGAGCTGGGGCACGTATTTCACCGACAACTTGGGAGTTTCCAGTAGGAGGGGTAATGGGGACAATATGAGGGGGCCTAGTTGGCATGCTCGAGAAAAGTGCCGATGAATGATGGACAACCTGTGGCAGTGGTGCTGTAGTCTGCTGGCTGGCGGCAGCTGGTACAGTAGAAGCCGAACCAGTAACAGGGGAAGGTCTTGGTGCAGTCTGTGATGCTAGAAGTTGGAGATGCTGCAAGAAACTGGAAGGCACAACTGCAAGGGCATGAAAGTTTAGGTGCTCAATAACAAGAAATGCAGAGTCACTATGGAAAACAATAAATCAATATACGTGTGTTTGCACGCTTACATATGCATGCACAAATAAATAGATATTAGAAAAGAGAAGGTAGTGGATACTGGTTCAGCTATTACAGACTAATAAACTGAATGTTCCCATAGAAATTTTCTTGTGTACCAATCTAGGTGATGTTCGATAACATTACTATTCATGAAGCTAGCATAGCGTGACTTTGTGCCTTGATGAGTATAAGCAATCAGCATGACTTTTCATAAAGCTGATTGGGGAAGACTGATCCATGTAGCCAACCACAAACAATAGGGATCAAAGCTAAATGGGTTCAGTGGTTGAATGAGTACATCTCTCACGTAACCAATGGCATAAACAAATCAATCTTGGGCATAAAAATTAAGCCTCATGGCCTATTTTGAGAGAGAGAGAGAGAGACTTATTAACAAAATTTCTACATTCAGAAGAGATGACCCAACTAAGACCTCAAGAAATTACGTACCTTGCTGTATTCCCAAGGCCCCAGAAGGCCTAAGATCTAGGCACTTGGACCGGAAAGCCTCAGCCAATATCTTATTCATGAGAACTTTTCCGTGATTTGCATCAAGTTCCTTCTTTTTCAGCAAAAACGATGCCTCAGCATCCTGAAGTTTAGCCTCAAACTTCCTACGAATTTCAGCTACAATTTCCTCTATCTCCTTGTCGCAATCAGATTTCAGCCGCAACTTCTGCTCAGAGAAAGACAGTAGTCAGTGATAAAGCCAAAATCTAAACCCTACTTCAAAAAAAAAATAAATAAAGTGACCAAGAATAAGCAAACCAGACACTAACCGTATCTTCATGGGCCTTGATTGCTTGATCCGTTTCTTTTCGTAACCTTTCCAATTCATTTTGAAGTGGATCAGCATGTAAAGGCTGATTTTGTATCCGAGAGGCCATTTGGTGAGCATTACGTAATGGCAGATGTGTTCCAAATCCTCCGAGAGGAGTGTCAATTGGAGGGTGCATTCCCAACTGTGTACCAGGAATAACTTGATTTGGAACCCCTGCTGTATCCTCAAGCAGTTGTGATGAAGCCCCCGCATTTTGGAAAGAGGTACACCATTCACTGCTTGGTTGATAATCATTTCCAACAGCTAAATGCAAATCAGGCTGATTCTGGTGTGGAGGTACATCTATAGCATGCAGCGGAAGAAGTGTTGCCAGATTTGCCCCAGGTTGCATAACTGCTCGATTTGAAGGTACTGCTGGGCCTTCAAATTGTTGTGCAGCCTCCACACTTTGGGAAGTGTTGTGGCCTTCTACAGGTAGTTGAACTCCAGAAGCTGTATGTGATTCAGGTTGATTGTGATCAACAGGTGAATCAGTTGATGCAGACAGCTGCAGTTGCTCGGCCTGCTCAATCACAAGTGTTCTGTGATTAGTTTGATCAGTCGTTCTGTCATCAGTGGGATGCAATGTTGAAACTTCGACTTGCTGCAGAACACTCCGACTGCCGGTAGCCGGTGCATCTCCATCATGCATTCCAGTAGATGTTGACGAGTGAGAACATTCATCCTGGATAGCCTGACAACATAAGATAAAAACACTGAGAATCAAGCTGCAGAATCATATCTGTTTAGCATTCCATTAGCCAAAATGGTTGAGGGAAATTGGAATTAACATCTGAGTAAGGATTTCTTAACAACATGAAGGAATATTAGACAATAAATAAGACAGGATCCATTGCATAGGGAGTTTCCTTTGGATTCTTGAAAATCAATTTGAACTCCAAAACAAATGTCGCATCAACCACACTTTTTTATACTACAGGTACTACCAGAGTAATATGTTCAGTGAGGAGTCCAGGAGTTAGTCAACATTTGTATAGAACACTAAGAAGATCATGATAAAAATTGTCAAAGAGAATAGTCAAAACAAAAGAACTAATATACCACATTTTGTGGTGATGCGCCAGCTTGAGCTGGAGTAACAACTGGCTTCACTAAAGGTGATTTTACCAAATACAGCTCCACAGAAAGTGAGCCACCATTGATGGGGCTACGAACTGCATCATTTTGGTTTGCCATAGGAGCCATGACTGATACATCTGAGTTATCTCATTGACTATGCTCTACATCAGGACTTAGAATTTCTACAAAATGAGCACCACTCACCAATTTGTTCCTAGCACTTTCACAGACTTCCTGTACACTTGATGGTGCTCCAGCAGGGATCTGTTCTGCAGAAGGTGGGTTCACGACAACATTGTTCTCAGGACTGCGCAAGATGGAGAGCTGCTTAAATCCTGAAGCCGATCTATGTGAGGCCATAGGATCAATTGCATCAGTTTCATGATTTAGATGCAATTCAATGGTCGGAGTTTCATTGGTGACACCACACCCCACAGCTTCACTGGCAGCAGTCCTAGGCATATCAGATGGAGCCACTTCAGTATCTTGCAATTCGTTAGGATTTTGTTCTTCTATAAGGCATCCAGACACAGTGGCAACGTTCTCAGCGGTACTGTGAACTTGCTCACTGGTGCCCCCGTATTCAGATCTATACAAAGGCATTTCACCTGATGATTCAGCTTGTAACCGAGACTTCATTTTTTCCAACAAACAAACTGCCTTTTGCCTCTCCTCATTCCTTTCAGCCAACTGCTTGGCCTCAAGTTCTTTATGGCGTATATCTTTCTCGCGCTTGCGTTCTTCCATTTTCTTCATAAATTCATCATCTAATCTCTTCAGCTTATCTAATCTAACTGCAATATTACTGTGTATTGAGCGAACAAGAGCTGTCTCCAACTTGTGCTCTTTCTGTAGTTGTATATTCTCCTCCTCGAAAATTCTATAGAACTCCTGAATTTCCTCGTGTTGCTTTTGATTGAGCTTTATCATCCGCTTATCACACTTTTTCTGCATGCGCTTCATACTTTTTGATAATTCTTTCTTCTCTAATTTATGTTTTGCTCCATGTTTTTTCTGTGAGAGGAGCCTGTCCTCGGCAAGTTCACAGTTCTCCGATCGTTCTTCAGTCTCAACTTTTACATGTTGCTGACTGGGTGCTACAGATTGTGACATTCTTGCATCTGGCAGCTCTTTCATAATATCCTCAGTTGCTGATATGGAATCTTTTGGAGACTCTAATTCCTTGAAATTATCCACATGGCGTAAGAACATTTTCTTCAGCAACCGCAACTTTGAATGCACATTGTTTGCCTCTTCATCTGTGCAGCCAAAATTCAAGTGTTGCCTTGCTAATGCAAGTGATTCCTTCTTATCAACTTTGTGTTTCAGCAATGACGCAGCAATCCAACACTGAAATACCACAGTGCAACAACGCAATGAAACTCATCATACTTCTGAAATAGATTAAATATAGGGGAAAACACATACATCCTCTGAACTTCGGACTAAAGTGAAAAGTTCTTTTTTTTTTTTTTTTTTTTTGTTCAAAATCATAAAGTGTTTCTTTTTTGTTTTTTTTTTGGGTTCAAAATCAAAGACAAAAGTATTAATATTTTTTTATTTTGGACAGAAAAATTACCATTTTACTTTAGTCCCGAGTTCAGGAGATGTAAGTGTGTGTGTTCGGGGCAAGTACAAGTGAATTTTTCCCTTAAATATAAAAACAAAACAGATAGCATGTGTGTATGTGTTATCTCGGGAACTTGAGAAAAGGCCCTTCATAAAGTTCACAAAACTCTCCAACAACTGAAGTTTTCATTATCTCAAGCGAATTTATCCCCCATCTAATTCTATTTTATTTTAGTTTTCCATTCCAGTATCAAAGTAGGACATTGGTAATAACAACTTTTGTACACAAAGGAGATCCATAATAACTTTTTTCAATTGATTTTGATTTGTACATCATGATCAATATGGAATGTAGAAAAAGAGGCCCAACATGCCATTACAAATTTGGATATAAGCAAAGGAAAATGACTAAGTCTTTGTAAACACAAAAACACTTTCACATAGTACGATAGTTCTAGTAGTGGTTAGATACTAACCAGAGATATCTGGAAAGCCTGCAATATGGTTGCTGGTTCCCTATTGACATGATGATTACTAACAACATATTCAAGAAACTTGCCAACCATATCCTTGACATCTTCCTGCGCTTACAGCCCAAAACATAAAATTAGAGTAAATAATTTTGCAATGTATAAATGCAACACATCATCACCATTACCCCGGTTGTCCCTTACATGTGCTCCTGTGTGTGGAGATCAATAATATTAGTTTAATTAAGTAATGGTCCTCAAATCCCAATATGTTGGTCCAAATATTAGTATATTCTGAAAAGTAAAAGCAAAATATATTGACATTTTTCTAAATTACCCATTTTACTTGAACATGGAATGCATTTATTAGGGGGTGAATTCCTAAAATGCACTAAGTTGACTAACAATAAGAGAGAAAGGGAGTAATACAAATTCCCTAGATGTGTAATAATAGATAAAGATAAAACCATCATTGCTATTTGCCTAGGACCTGTTGGCATTCAATCTCATAACGCGAGAAATCTAGGCACCTTAGAAAATCATGTGAAAAGAGTATAATGACACAATTGTGCATAACAATTGTAACCAAACAAATGTCCATGACGCATGCCATTGATTCCGACATACTGTTGTAGAACATATATGAGAAAATTACATAGGTAGACAAGAAATTTTGAAATTTTGGGTGTAAAGAGTTTTTTAGAGAGCTAATGCAGTTTTGTATAAAACAATAGTTACTCTATCAAACCCATTAAAAATATACAGCCAATCAGACTTCAATCTCCCTAGGCAAGAACTCACAATTAAGATGCAACGAAATGTACAAGGAGGATGATAAACTAAAAACAGAGCATGCTTAATCAAACAACCTATCACCAACTTGAAATCATGAAAGTATGCCGAGGCTCTTAATAGTCATCTTTGTTTTGTTCACTCTTCCAGCATGCATTAGAAGGACGAGGCAAGTCAACAGTAGCAGTTTCCCCTTTCAGAAATACCTTATGTATGACTTCACCAATTCAGTTTCTTTCAAGATATAGAAAAAATACAATAACAATTTTGGGGCGGGGGATGGGTGGAGGCAAAGAGACAGCCATAAGAAGTAAAAATACAAGATACATACTGAAAGTTGTAGAATTTCACAGAGTTTGGAAATCTCGAGTTTCAGAAGAACATTAAGTTTTTGCTGTACGTCATGCAATCTTATTCCTTCCTCAGACTCAACCATTTGAACTTTAGATAACGATGAGACAACATTAGGGGGAAATGGAGAGGTGGAAGCATGGTTGTTTGTACACACTGTGCGCGTTACACAAGCAGTTGACCTAGGCAGAAATTGAGAACCATTATCAGCTGCAACTTCAGAACCTCCTGTAGAATTAAGAGAAGCCATCAGCAAGCTCAAAACATGGAAATCAGAATAGCTATACAGTTTCCTGCAAAAAGTTAAGCTTCATTCAAGAAAAAAAAATGAACGAAAGCCGAAAGATGATATCAATTTGGAAAAATAAACAATTTCTTTCGTTTACCTCCCTTATTCCTTAGAAGTTCACCTTCTTTTAATCTGGGGCTTAGAGACGCTGGATCAGCACTATTGTTCACCACCTTCTTGCGTTTCTTTCCAAGTTCATCAGTTTTGACCTCCGGTTTCTTTGGAGAGTCATTGAAATAGTGGACTCTTTTCCTGTTCCTCTGTGATTGCCCAGATGAATATCTCCACTGAGGACACCTTCCCTCCAACAGCTTTGCCCAAAAGACATGGGGCTCTCCACCTGTCAACTGAGTTTTTAGCTCCCCAAGCAATGACTCACCAAGCAATGAACCATTTTTACTGTATGCTGTCCCACCGTATCGAACTTTTATTATACGAGAGTTGTTTGTATATGTACTTTCACAATGCTGACAAACTAAAGCCAAGAACTCCTTTGCAACGTCTTTGACAAGTGATTCGGAAGACGCATTTGCTCCTGTAGTTGAGGTATTACTATCCTGGAACTCTTCCAATTTGTTGAATAAATATGAAGCCCCCCACATGAGCAGCATGTGACTAGTACTCCGGCTTATGCTTTGCAGATTGCTATCAAGAGTAACATCATGTGTTGCAAGATCTAGAAGTTTTTCTTCCACGGTACAACATGAGTATAAACGGAATATTTTAATCGGTTCAGAAGATGAAACAATTGATATTTTGTGTAGTGCTCTTAAATCATTTGTTGGGTTCACATCACTATCAAATATGACTATGGCATCCACAGATGACAACTTGATGCTTGGAAGGCAAGCACGATTTTCTAATAAAAACACAAATCTCTCACTACCCTTGTCATTGAACTTGTTCATGGCAGCATGCTTCTTAGACAGGAGAACACCTCCGTGGTCAACACGTTCATAAGAGTCTTTACCAAATCTCTGTCTTATAAAATCTTCCAATATATCTCCAATAGAATCCCTTCCAGAACCACTAATCAACTGTCAAAAATGTACAATATGAGAACCAAAGAACACACAAATTATTGTCCAGTGCAGACACAGATCATGGGTGCGCGCACAAATGATTGTGTGTATATAGAGAGACAGATAAAGAAAACTGAGAGAAACATGCAAAGGAAATCTTGAGAAGTTAAAACTTAAACAAAAAACATGACCGCTTAGTGGCATGGAGTGTATTCAAACATTAATAACTAGATCAAGTTAAAATTTCAACAGAAAGCATTGATCAAGGTAAAACTACGCACAAAAGAAATGATTTTGAGTAAACAAAAATCCTGAAAGTTGGGAATTAGATGTTGTGGGAATAGATTAACAAATAATGCACTCAAAGCAGGATTTATCTTTTTCAATCTACTGTTTGATTTGGCCCTAGTTCGTTTGTTGTTAATCTTTTCTCTGTATCGATATGTGGGGCTTGTATCCCTCTGTTTCCAATTGATCTCTCGGGGGGTACTTTTTCAATCTAAGGTTGAATATAGGGGTGGATCTAGTGGTGGGACTGGCTTAACCTTAGGATGCAATACATTTGAAGTTGAGGCCTTCCCCAGGACTTGTTGGACTGGATAAAGGGCTGGATGGGGATATGGTGCCAGACCATTATGGAGGGGTGGGTGTTGAAGGGGCTGAGATGGAGGAGAAGAGAATAGGGAACACGAGTATTGATAAAGACACAGAGAGAGAGAAGATTATGTCGGCTGGGTGGGGTCCTCATGGAGGGGGTGGTTGTTGGAGGGATTAGTGGCTAAAATGAGGGAGAAGAGAAGAGGGAAAAAAAGGAATAGTAGATAGATAGATAGATAGATAGATAGATAGAAAAGGTTGTGTCACAGGGGGTTACATTACATTGCAAAAGCAACCTGAGATTGAAGATAAAGAGAGAAAAGCAGTCGGGGGGATATGTTGAGGCAATAGAGATAAGGGCATATCATTTGTTCCGTAAGGTAATAGAGCCCGAGCCCAAGAAAAAAATATAAAAGTGGAGACAGATTCAACAAAGCCCATGGATTCTTTTTTCATGTATAGGCCCCAACAGTCATAAGGGTCTAGCACATCAGTGGGTCATATTAGACATAAGGGCATATCCTCTTCTTTAATTTTTGAGCTTAACTCCAACAACGCAAAGGCAGAGAGAAGTTTGTCGGTCACCAAGGGGGAGAGAACTCCCCCCCCCCCTCTCTCTCTCTCTCTCTGGGTGTGAGTCTTAAGTAGATGTTATTTTCTTCCTCTTTTTTGATTTTGTAACAAAGGGGGTGCTCCTTGGCACTTTCTTTAATGTAATTTTATTTACTCGTCAAAAACTGTTTTGCCAAAAATGACATATCAGATTATCTGAATAAGAGGACAGTGATAAAAAAATAAAAAATCAAAAAAAATACAAAAGACTAAAAAAATAGCACAGCATAATTCAACAGAGTACAGTTTCACAAGAAATATATATACCCCCTTGCAAATTAAAATTAAAGTGATCAGATCATGTACCTGAAAAAGGATTACTACTCTTACTCCTCGATTTTTAATCTCTGAGAGTATTGTATCAAGAAGTCGTAACTTGCCACTTGCTTTTATTCCCACATCCATAAACTCGACCTCAGAAAGACCTTTAGCTAAGACGCCTCGCAATAATGGATCAGCAATGTAGGGGTGATCACAGCACTATCAACAAAAACCAGAAAAGAAATTTCCCAAAAAGCTGATTATGAATAACCATTCAACATAAAACAATTTAAATTCTTTAACCATTCTAAATATAAAGGAAAATTCAAACAAGTTAACTGCGAATGGCAGTATATCCTGATGGAGATATTTAATTATTTAAGCAGTAATGAATAGATCAGTAACCATATTATTGCAAATGAATAGATGCAATATATGAATGCATATGTTTTTTCTTGTGTATGAGGAAAGAGGGAGAAAGTATGGGGATGGAAGAGAAAGGGACCTAGTTACACTACTGCAAGGCTTCTGCCACTATATTATCTTGCAGAATTTGATTAATGGCATGATATACATGTATAAGGGAAAAAAAGTGCATAGATGTACATTCAAGCATACACATACAGAAGGAAGATGCTTGAAACAGCTTATAGATCACATGCAATGATGCTAAAAGTACATCAAATCAAACCTTCCGTGTAGAAATAAGAATATCACGAAGGGCCCCAACAGGATCATTCTTCAAACATGAGCGAAGAGACGAAGAATTTGAGAACAGAGTAGCACAATACTGCTCAAGTTGCTCATTGGATAGCAGAACGGGAACCCAATACTCAATAAATTTAGGAGACTCTGGGTTGCACCTATATGCAACAAACCGTTTCAACCTCTCCCTTAATTTATCAAGATTATCATTCAAATCAGTTTGGAGGCCATTGTTTGAATCCGAATCACTGGGAGAATCAAGCAACGACAGTAGATTAAGGTGCTCAGCTATACCATCCTGCCAATTCCAGTATGATCATTAAGCATAACCTGCATTAAATAGTATAACAAAGTGAATGAACTATCGTACCTTTACTCGACCATTGTAAAGGAGAACCCTAATTTCTGTAGTTAACATTTTAATTTGTCCAAAATGTTTAGAAATCCCAGTGTGCTGGCATTCATCAACTATAATTCCTTCCCATCTAAAGCAATTTATCACTTCTAAATCCTGCAGAATGATAAGTGAAAAGGTTAAGTAGATGCTTTGGCAAGTGAACATGTACAGCCTCTAACTGTAGCAATAAAAAGAATTTTTCCACTGATGAAATTCAAAGCAAATGCAATAAACTAGTGACAATAAATGTCGAGAACAAGGTCTTTAAAATTCAGTTAACTGGCAATTTATGTCAAACCCTAAGGTCATTCAAAAACCTCTAAAGCAATAGAATCCCTCAGTCCAAATATACCTCGACAATAGCTTCCACAGTCGATAAAAGTACTTGGAACATTATGCAACCCCCTTCCTCATAAAACTCAAAAGTCCTGATAATTCTTCTACTATCTTTGTTTCCACTGTAAACTACAACGTTGGTAGATGATGACAAACGCGAGAACTCAGCTTCCCATAAAGAAAGAGCACATGAATTTGTGATGATGAGGAAAGGCTGACTAACATCAGACACCAATGATAGAATAAATAAGATCACCTCTATTACTCGCTCCTGCAAATAAAAGGCCTATTAGATTCACTATATAAATTACTGGTGCATGTGAAATATAAGCAACAACACCTTGACACAATCAACTAACTCAAATGCCAAACAGGTTATCAACTTCCAAAACTATCACTAATCAAAGAGCACACCTAGGCACAAGGGTTGGGGTATTCATCTTAGGATGTTGTAACAGTAAATTCTCCCCAGCATTACACAAAACAAAGGTAGTGTTTGGTTTAGTTTTTAAATTAACATTTGAATCAAAAAATCAAAAAACATGTTTGGTTAACAAATTTTCAAAATTGTTTTTTCTCTCTCCTCTCTTCTCTTTTTTATTAATAAATCAATCAATCACTTTTTTTTTCTCCTCTCTCCTCTCTCACATTCTATACATCAATCAAGCAAATTTTCTCTTACACCCATTTATTCAACTATAAATGACGACAACAACAACAACAAAAAAAACTGTAAAACATCCCAAAATTATTTTCAAAACTCATAACCAAACAAATTTTCAATTTTCAAAACTTTTTTTCAACAACTTATCTTTCAAAATACAAATCAAAACTCAAAACTCTTTTCAAAATCTAAACCAAACAAAGCCAAAAGTCTTCCAAAATAAAACACAATTGCATGAGTGACAGATCAAAAACACTACCAGTATTGTGATATATATATATATATAACCTAAAAATAAGCTGACAAAAAAATAAATGAACAAATAAATGACTCACACAATTGATTAATTAAAAAATGAAAAAAGATAGTAAATTTTAGGGTGATTCAGATATTTTGCAGAACAAAATAAGATTAAGAAATCACAAATAAGCCAATTAAAAATATCCCGTCTTTCCAAACATAATTGAACAAAAGTAACACGCCATCCAATCAACACATTGTTAGAGAGAGGTATGTGTGAAGCGAATTCTGCTAAAGAGAGAGGTATGTGTAAAGCGAAGTCCCACATCACCTGAATACTAAAGTAATATTAAGCATATAAGCATGAGGGCACCCTCACCTTGATAGCTAGCTTTTGGGGTGAGTTCTACCCAAGACCGTATAACATGATATAAGAACCGAAGTACTTAGGGATGGGTAGGACACGTGTCCCTCGCTTGCAAGCCACAAGTGTTGCCAAGTGAGCACGTTGGGCGTGAGGGAAGGTGTGAAGCAAAGTCCCACATCGCCCAAGTACAAAAATAATATTAAGCATATAAGCGTGAAGGCACCCTCACCTCTTGAGCTAGATTTTTGGTTAAGTTCTACCCAAGACCAAATAACAGTATGATGTAAAATTCAACTATGCCAAAACTCAAAAAAATTCATTACATTCAGGTTCAGCCTATATACACAAGTTAACAAGTTCAAATAAAAAATAATACTCAAAAATAAAAAATAATACTCAAAATAAAGTTCTAAACAAATCTACAACTCCTAAATATATTAAACTTTAGGTTTCCTAAACATGTCAGAATATTCCCATCAGATATGCACAGGCATCCTGAAAGAATTATGAATTGATACATGTCATGAAAAGAGAAACTGATACAACATCTTAGCTCTCAAGTGACTTGCACAATTATCAGTTAAATTAGCTCTCAGGTGACCTGCGCAATCACATATTCTCAACTGTGATGGGAGCATGTCCCTATCTAAAAGGACAACTATCTTAAACCACCGGGTTGGAAATCCATAGGACACAGTCCTGGGGCCAAAAAAAAGGACTTTTAGGGGGCAATGACCAGTAACCTGGAACAACAATTGTGACAAATAGGAGGGGGGGGGAAAAATTTAGAGAGATAAACCCTCAAAATCCCACCTAGACTTCCCTAATAAGTCACATATAAGGTTGCACAAAGTATCACAAAAAGTATCAAAAGCTTCACACAATTCTCTAAATAACTCAACTCCAATGAATAGAAAGATTGCATACATACTTACAGGCACTTTTCTTATTCCTATGAGGACTTACGACTCCTAAATTAGGAAACTGAAATTTTTTAACTAGCTAGAATATCCTAGACCAGACAAACACTCCATACAAGACCCAACAACAAGGCTACAGCACACACACTTGTTATGACCCAAACTTGTTTTGGCAATGAATCAAAGTGGTGTTTGTCATGAATTGAAGTGTAGGCGGGGTTAGCCTATGTCAAATCAAAGTGAGGCCCGTCTTGTTTATGACTCGTAGTGGTGTTCAGTTATAAGGCAAAAGGTGTTGGTTATAACATAAATTTTTCTTATGACCCAAAGTGGTGTTGGTTATGGGGCAAAGCGGTGTTTTGGTTCTGACCCAAAAGGTCTTGATTATGAGAGTAATACCGCTTTGGGTCATAACGGGACATATGGTACCTGCCTTTTTGGGAATGCATACCATAAAATTGGCCCAAGACCCAATGACATAATTTGACTCAGAATATAACCCATGGACAACCCCGACAACCCTATTGAGCAATTTACAAAATTATTAAACACCCTGACACCAAAAACCCAAATAAAATCTATAAATTTTGTCCTGAAGCTTCCAAGAGAAGATATATCACTAAGCCTAGTTACATTATGCAGTCCCATATCATATCAGAGTAGGTTTTATTTTGTATTGGCCTAATGGGTTGGCTATATTTATTTGAAACTAACCCTTCAGGAGACATCATCCACATGTATTACATTCTTGCTAAATTTTCAACTCTTCATTTAAAAATAATAATTATAATAATAATAAATTCCTAAATGCTTTATTTGATATTGTGAGCTCTATTCCTTCCAAGAATCAGTAAAATTAACAAACTTATCAAAAAAATAGAGTAATGATGTCATATCTGATCAGATTGCATCACCTGGTCATCGATAACGACAGCATTCTGGCCATTGAGCCAATACTCATGTAGCTTGCTAACAGCACTTAGGCGATTACAATTTCCATTTGGGACTCCAGCCGGCAGCTTCGATAGTTTGGAAAGGGATCTTTTCTTCGTCTGCAGTATTTCACATATGCTATATTATTGACCAGTACAAGTATAATGTCACCATTAATTAGCATCACCATGAAAAACATTAACAGTATAAAGAAGAAAATTAAATTAATGCATTTGATATGATCAACAACAATTTAATCAGCATTGGAGTGCATCAAACTAGCTCCAAAGTTAGGTGTGATTCCTAAATGCAGTGAGTGACCCCTGAATGAATATCAGACAACACACTCTCTCACGACATACTGATTCTGCTCCAAGAAAACCCAAGATCATCTAATTGCGTTATGGGTGTTTAAGCCATATCCTTGTCAAGTGACGAAAATGAAACACCTCCAATAGTACTGGGAACATGTTGGATAAACCCACACAGATATCTAACAGAGAGAAAGCATGCAGCAAAAGAACCTTTCCATATTTACAAAGCTAGGAGATTTGACTTCCAGTGGAACATCAATTTTTACATAAATTAGGGGAAGCTCCAGAGGGGCCCAACCAAGTTTAGGCCATAGTTAGCAAGCGAAGTAAGAAAAATAAGAGTTCAAAGGAAAGAAAAGAGACCAAGCTAGATCATCCATTTAACATGAATTAATAGACATCCAAAACAGCCACATACTGCTTTACAGTTCTAAATGCACTGATTTTCAAAATCCACAGTAATAATAAAAATTCGCAAACCAAAAGAAATTATATCCTTTTGAAAATCTCTAATTTTGAAGGTTCACTTGAAAAATCTGTTGCGAAGGATTCATGTCACCAAATGCACATAAATGATGCAATGAAAGAAATTCAAACAAGACAATGAACTAAGAAGATATGATGATTTTGCATATTCTGTCACCAAAGGCACCTTGTCTAATATAGCGAAAGAAGCAGCTTCCTTTGCCCTCTGATGACGATTTTCATACTCTCTAATTAGGTTCTGGGCTTGAGGCGAATGTAGAAAAGAAGCATTCTCCAACTCCCATGTAGCATGTTCATAATCGAGGCCACACCATTTAACAAGCCATTCATTATGACAATTGGAAGAATCACCAGCATGCTCACTGTGATGGTCATCTTGCTGCTTGGGAGATGTTAGCAACCTTTTCTTCAGAAAACGATGTGGCACTCTCCACTCTTCCCTCCAATTCATGACCTAAAGAGAAAAAGACTTGTTACAACAACAGCAAGGTTCCTGGATTTATGGTACAAAGGGTCAACTGCATAACTTGCTTTGACAAATAAGACTACAGGAAGGAGTCAACTAAGAATAGGGGTTATCATCCATAACAAAAATTAAAAGTACCTTGACCTGATTCTTTCGATTAAATTTTGAAACAAGCAATGGTGCTTCAAGAAGCAATTGAGTTTCTGGTACCCAATGGTTGTGGAAATGAGCAAGACCTTTATATTTAACAAAATACTGCTTCTGTTTTTGCAATCCTATAGCCAAGCACCAAATTAGCAAGAGAAAATCACAAAAAGAGAAAACCATCTGTATGTTACACATAGATATGGAGTGCACAATTTAAAGCACAGAATTCATATAACTATTAGAAGTATAGGAGTACGTTTTTTTATGATATGCAGAAATATACTAATTTGTTCTTTTTTCAAGCAAGAGATAATTTGTCCATACCTTCAATATCTTGCACCTCTACTTCTCTAGCATCCCAAATTGACTCTACTCCTTCAGACACTGAATAGACACCCGATTCTATCTTCTTCTTTACACATGAGGAGCAGTGCCAATCTCCAGGTGGGACGTCATCCAGAGGTGGATCTAAACACTGCAGATGATAGCTTCTACTGCAACCCTTTCCATCACAGCACCTGAAATTATATGTAAGGGTACAATTAGACACCAAATTTGACAAAGCACTGAAAAGGTAAAGTACAGTTATAAACTGAACTATGTAGCAATGACTTCTGTGCAATAACCACACAGAAACTAGAGAAGCAATATCAACTGAAATAAACATGCTGACCACTGTCTTTATGGCATACTGGTGGTCACCATCCCAAATTGTCCTGGAATCAAGTTTCAGCACTCTTTGTTCTTTTTTTCGATAAGTATCAAGTTTCAGCACTCATAAGCAGCATGAATGAAGTACCTAAGCTAGCTAATGGCAAAATGTATGGTAGGCTATTTACCATAGAGACATGCAATGCTGGAGCTCAAAAAAATGTATCATACTCATACACGAGGCAACATGTCTGAGACAGCAAGAAGTTTTCACAGTCCTTGACATTCAAGTATCAAACATAGAATAGATGTTTTGTTGGTTGGGAAACCACCAAGCTAAGAGAGTATACTGAAATAACATAATATATTCCAACTACCTATCTTAACTTGTGACTGTCTGAAGCTAGTCTGCTTATACAGACAAGAACAATCATCTATCACTTTTGATATCAACACCGAAGTACGGTGTATGTATTGGTCAGTTAGACAACAATAGATTTAAGGTATCAAGCAAAGCCATCAACTTTTGAAGTCAGCTAAGGAGAATTTGGTAATGCAACTCAACTCAATAATGCTTCGAGTTTACCAATTTTGGTCCACTACGTGTCAACTTATCGTAAAAATAACAATGATGACAATAAATAATTTCTACTTTTACTATACAGAAAAGCGAAATGATAATCTAGATCATCTTTTGTGGTTCATATTACTGTAGATCCTGCAGAAGATCTCAGTAAACTTCAGCCAGACAGACAACTTGAATAGATATATCATTTTCCTCTAGAAAGGTTTAGACTAGAGATGGATTAGATTCCAAATACAACACTGAAAAATAAAATAAAGTAAAATACCAATTTGAATGTAAACTGTGCAACAATGATAGGGAAAAGTTCAGTTTAACCTTATGGTTTGACATCGGAGCACTTCACCCCTTTGTGGTTTAAAAATAGCTAAAGAGGCACCATGTGATTTTCATCATTTTGCATTAAACCTCCCTACCATTATAAATTCTGTCCAAAAAAAATTAACAGAATTTGTGTAACACACCTTGGCCTAATGACCTTGAGGTTATGGGTTCAAGTCACGGAGCAACCACTTTGTGCACTATGCCAAAAGTTAGGTGTGTACCCAATCTTTCCCCTCCCAAACACACATTAATGTGTACTAATTAGGCGTTGTTTTTTTTACTGTCTTCGAGAAATGTGAAAGAACAAAAAAATGCGAAGTCAAATTTTATTGTAATAGGACACATTTACCCTTCCCTCATCTTCTTCTCATTTCAAAACCCTAACCCTAATACACCCACCACCTCCCAGCACGTCCACCCTCCTCCCCCTACACCACCAACCACCTCCTCTACACTAGCCCCTACAACTTCCCCCACCACCTTCCCCCGCCACCTTCGCCACTACTCCCTCCTTCCTCCCCCGCGATCTATTCATGTCCACTTTTCTTCACTGTAAGAAAAGTCAATCTCATGTCCACTTTGGTTGCAGCATTTTTGTACATGGATTCCACAGGAAGTCCTGTTCAGCACTAATAAACAGGAACCCGTGATTTTTGGCATACCATTTGATAGCTTTCTCTGCCTTCACCATCTATCAGGTGGGTTTGAAAACCACCGTTGATCCCGTGCGTGTAGACGATGATAACTTGCTGTCTTTTGAGTTGTAATTCAGTTCAGGCACTAAGCTATACCAATATATGTATATAGATTTGTATCTAGTTTAGTTCAGGCACTAATCTATATACACGTGTGTGTGTGTGTGTGTGTGTGTGTGTGGACAATTAAAAATGAAATTAAATTAAGAATTATTTTTAAAAGACATAATTTTAGGGATATTTGAGTTATTATGTAGTTTAATTGATTAATATGTGATTCAGTAAAAAAAATTATAAGCATAATAGAAGGGAAAGAAAGAGAAGATAGAAAAGGGGTATTGATGTTGTTTTTCACATGTAGACAACGGAGTTAAAGTTGCATCTTAGTCCAAAACCACATAAGGTCTCTTTCGGTATTTTTAACAACAGCGGGATGAAGTACTTTGGGACCAAACCACGAGGGGATACAGTGAATTTTGCCCAAAAAGATATGAATCAATTCTTTCAAAAGTCTAACCAAACACCACTACACATCTAAAATCTTAGAAGTAATCAAATGGACTGTTAGTTATAACTTATTATTACATTTTTAACAACAAAATTCATGATTAGACATAATTTCATCCAAAAGAATAGATCCCCGGTCCCTATGATTTCCACCACTTTGTTATCATCAAATTATGTACAAACAATTAATACAATGAAGTAAGTTAGGGTAAAAAAAATTTGTAATTGAGGTCCTTCAAGCCCTAAAGAGGACAACATTGCTTATTACAATCGATTTCTAAAAACTCATGAACCAATAACTTGAATATGAAATGTTGATGCCACGAAGGAATTAAGAACAACGCTAGATGAGGACTATCAAAAAAGGTTAAGATATATCAATATTTTATAGTATTTTTCTGGATCCTCAGGGAAGGAGCTATAAATAATTTGTCTTGAATATGAATGGCAGAAAAAAAAGTATATATATATATATATATTCAATTTCCTCCCTTCAAATTGCACGTTTGTTCTTTATTAGTTCCATTCAAACTAAATTCCACCAAAAACAAAAACAACAACAAAAAATAAAATAAAAAAATCAAACAATCCATTAGTGAAAAGCAATAAAAATAACTGTGTACAAATAATTACATAAAGGAAAAGTTCACAGGTATTTAAAAATACAATATAAACATTATCCCCAGCAAAAAAATAAATAACATTACTTCATTATGTACATACAAGAAGCATTTGAAACAATAAATGCACATTAAAGTGGGTTACCCACAGGAGCTTTCCACCAAGCTTGCAAATGACACATATATTCTTGTGACCATCAATTTGAGCATCTAAAAGAGACTTCTTCCGATGTGCAGTGCCATCATTTTTGTCAATCGATCCACGAACAAAGGCTTCAGGTTCCCCCCTATCCTAATCCAAGGCATTACAAAATGACAATATTATTATAGGGTTGATAAATTATTAGGATACATGTAGAAGGTTTTAAATGTTATTATAAAATGATATTTCCAACACAGAAATGGCACACGGCGATTTCCAAAAAATGCAAGACACACACAATACACATTAAAATTATATATTTTTATAAATTTATTATATCTCAAACATTAAACTACACACTAATTAAAATTAAAAAGCCATATATTCAGTAACTATCAAGATATCATTCATGTAAAAATTGCATTCTAAAAGGACAACATAGCACTAGCTTATGTTGAACATTGAAATACACATGTATTCATCTTTATAAATATTTCAAAACATATTTAGAGTGCACAAGTAACATTATGAAGAAGGCAAAACATAGTTACTACGAAGAAATTCATCATATAGGTCGCGTTCAGGGGGTTCAAGAAGTGTCACTAAAACTTCTATAAAGTTTTTGTTATTATGAATTTAAAATTTTAATTAAGACATTGATGAAGTGAAATTTTTAGTTAAGACATGTTGAAGAAGGATCAAACACACTTTTAGAAGTGTCTACAGAGTATTGGTATCCGAGACAGTTGTCCAACACGATACACTTCCTTCTTTGGCCATAAACAATGGAGTGGGGTTAAACCAGATCTTTCTATCAAATCTTACCAAACCTCCCCACACCACACCAAACCCCACCCTAAAAAAAATAAAAATAAAAATAATAACTTCAAGCAGCCAGCATGTCAAAAAGATGAGGATAAAGTGCAACAAAAAAGTAAACCAACCTTAGCAATAGAAGTGCCACATAGATCCTTGTTTATTGCTTGGTTGCAAAAGCAAAGCTCTTGCATTGATGAATCATAATCCACCCTGAAAGATATGAATGACAGCTTACCATAAATTTCCTCATTGAAAATAAAGGAACTCTAGTATTCCACAACTGAAAAACACAGTATCAACCCTTATTAGCATAAAAATGACATGATTTTTCTTAAAGAAGCTGAGAGTGGAAGAAAGAAAGAGGTTCTGCTTAAATTAGGTGTTCAGAGTGCACTGTAATGTGAATAAAGCACATAGTAGCATCAACACAAATAAGGCTTTAATCAAGTGCTCAGCAGAGGACCAGTTACCGTTTATATCAAGAGCATCAACATTTTTTTAGCATAACCAATGCTGGAAAAAAAATTAAAAATAAAAAATACAAGGAGAGGAAGAAGAACTGAAACAAAAACTAGTGAGGAAAAAAGATTTCCACTCTGATACCAAGTTAGATTTAAAGAGAAGATATATGAATAAAGTAGATGTGTTGTTGAGAGAGGTTGAGAGAATGGTGTGAGGCAAAAGTGAAGAGTAACATAAAGTTCTCACACTCATTCCATCATATTTATTTTAGTAGAGCTCAAAATTCAAATATACAGAGTCGGATGGTTGCACATATGCGTTTAATGTGATGCATTTGGCGTTTACCATTGAGGATGAACAGATGTTGATTTCTACGTTAAAGACGACTTTAATTTGTTCCTAGAAATTTTGTGAATCTGATTTTAGTTTCCTTAATTATGAGAGCTGAGCTTTGTGGGTAAGTATAGTTGTTCTCTTTATAACCCACCTGTCAACAGATGTTGCACCTTTACGCATATTTTCAATAAAATTATATCAAAATAGATGACGGCTATGGAGCAACTCACATATAAATAGATGTGTGATCATCATTATGCAATCTAACATCAGCAGGACTTACAAATATGAAGTAACTCCAGCCTCCAATCTTAACATTTAGTTTAAAAAAATAGCTGGCTTGTATGCTTGACTCTGCAACGTGTACAGTGAACTAGGGCAGAAAGAAAGACAACAGAAATAGGTCATTCATAATACAGATACCTTAGCCTTTTGGAACATGTGACACATGTTCCATCAAAATCGTCACTTTTGCACTCAGATGATGGCAGAGAAACAGCATCCGCATTAGATTTGCAATTAGCTTTATTTGCAGATGTTGAAGCTTTACAATCCATCTCCACTGTATGCCTCTTTCTTTTAGATGCCACTCTGTCACCAGTTTGCTCATCAATAACACCATCAAGTGATCTTCCCATACCAGCCAAACCTGCCAACTCCGGAGTTCGCAACTTCTCCACAGCAGAGCAATACACCTGCACCATTTTGGCATCATCAAGAGTTTCTTCGACTCCTGCACCATTCTTGGAAGCATACAAATCGTTTCCTTCTGAAGGCTCATGAGGTTCCTCCATAGAACTATGCTTCTGGCTTGAGCATGACAATGCTACTTCACCATGGTTTCCTAATGCTTCTGCATCAACAATATTTAACCTCGGATGAGACCCTTCCGCACCTCCTTCACAAGCTTCCTCAATGCCGCCTTCTCTCAATAGCTTTCCCATGCTCTCACTGCACTCATCACCCCCATCCTCTTTGTCGTCCACTTGCTTGGAAACACTGCCTTCGCAATCACTGCTGTCAACTTGAGACAATCTGTCTTGCTTTTCCATCTCCACATCGAAATCTGTGACATAAACAGAGGGGATGAAAAGGGCAAGATTAACAAAACTGGGACAGCAGAGATTAATAAAACTGAAATTGCAATCGTACAACTATTTGATTATAAGAGGTAGCCACCATATATAACAAACTTGGATTATATGGGCAACTAGTGGTGTTTCATTTTTGCCTTCATCTCTTGTATTTGAAACAGATTAATTGAAAGTGAAAACTTTCACTCCCATGAGAAAATAATAATAGAGCATGAATAACGAACAAAACAAAAACAAAAAAATTGAGAAAAAAGGGAGGAGAAAGGATGCGCACACACACAGACAAACAAAAAAAAGGCAACCTGGTGCAATATCTCTTCTTCGTCGGTGCTTAAACAAAGACTTATAAGTACGAGCATCCATTCTCTTCTTATTCACACCAACAGGCTTTGGATCTCGTTTCTCTCTTCTGCTCATTTCCCTCGCTCCTAGTGTCAACTGTTTCACACTCTTCTCTCTTTGTAACTTTTTCCTTTTAACATCTGATGAAGCAGACCCCTTCTCAGACTTCTTGGAACCCGAAGAACTCCATGACAGGTGTTTCTTACCCCTATCAGACCTCCTCAAAGGACTAGGCATCCTCTTTTTCTCAACTATTTCAAGTTTCCTCTTAAGTGGAGTTGCTGTTGGCGTCCTTTTCTCAATACGCTCAGACTTCCTTGTAGTTGACGGGCTTGAGCTTATTTGTTTCCGTGATGGTGTCTCCCTAGTTGACCTTCTTAAACCAGAGGTATCCACCACTGCAGAGCCCGGAGTAGAGGATCTTTTGCCAATAACAGGCTTCTTTTTTGAACTATTACTCTCATCGTCCTTACTTTTGCAAGTAGATTGTGTGTCATTTGCCATCCTTCAAGATTAAAGTAAGCAATCAGAGCTCTCCTCCCTGATATCAACAGGAAAAAAAGAAAGAAAGAATAAACCGAATATTCCATTACTAAAAAATTTACATTGAAACTATAAGAAATATATTGCTGGAAAGTATATGTATACAAGCCCTAGTTTACAGCTAGAAGTAATAAGCATCCATTCAGCTATATGTGTTGAACTTTTATCTAAATTGTACTAACAAAATGTCATTTTATAACCTCCAACACAACAACCCACATGCAAAGCGAAAAAGAAAAACAAAATCACAACCACCCACGTCATAAAAACTGAAAGGAAGATAATAAACCTATTCATAGCATTGTCATTATCATCCGTATAAAGCAAAAATAAAAAATCACACCAACCCACATGATAAAAACTAAAGGAATACAATATACCTATTTCATAGCATTGTCACCATTGCCCGTTCAAAGCCTCTCAACAAACACAAAGAATTCATCAATTCAAACACACAAAAAGGGCTTAATCAATAGTGCTAAAGAAAGCATACTGATTTGAGGCAATGCAGGTGTGCAATCATGATGAACTCAGTTTCCAATACCAAGACCATCAAGTCCCAAGCTAATTAAGCACAAAACTATGTGCGATACAAAAGCAAAAACCCTAGATGTCTCACAAACAACAATGTCAGACCAATGAACCACAACTGCTTCAGTACCGCTCCTTTAAACCCTAATTTGCATGCAATTGGCTTTGACTTTGCCAAAGAACACAAATGCAAAGTTTTGATGATTTTTCCGCTTCTCACAGTTGCTCTTTCTACACCTCCGGATATCCAAATCATCGCCCATTCCGAATAAAGTTGGCTATCTCTGTGGCACCGATTGTACACTAATAGTAATTTCACACAATCTCTCAACAAATACAAAAAAAATTCATCAATGCATACATACCAAAAGGGCTTAATCAATAGTGATAAAGAAAGCATAATTATTTGAGGCAATGCAGGTGATAAATCACGATGAACTCATTTTCCAACACCAAGACCATCACGTCCCAAGCTAATTAAACACAAAAACTATGTACAATTACAAAACCAAAAAACCCTAGAGGTCTCAGAAATAACAATGTCAGAGCCACGAACCACAACAACTGCTTCAAAACCGCACCTTGAAACCCTAATTTACATGCAATTGGATTCTACTTCGCCAAAGAACACGAATGCAAAGACTAATTGCAATTTCACAAGCAAAAAACAGAGATTGATTGAATGAAAACTCACCGGGAGATTGCTCTGTCAACGCCGATCAACGGGGACGACGATGAGATTCTTGAGACTCTGATGAGCTTTCATAGAAAGGAGGGAGAGAGAGAGACTTCTGTGTGAGTCACGACCCGTTTGAGGGGACCGGGTCATCTACCGTGCCTAAAACCTGCAATATTGTACGGTGTGCAGTTGAGATTAAGCCACGTAAGTTCTACGCAATCTAACGGTGTAGAAGAGCCCACTTGAAACTTATTTGCGTACTCGTTCTCGGAGAGTTCGCAGTTTTGTTTCACAATAGTGTACACATAGTACACATCGACCTTTTTGCGTTGCTTTGCTTTGCATGAGTAAAACCGCCCTAGGCTGCACGTGTATAATAGTAAATTAAGGTTTATTTTGATAAGTAGTTAAAATAGTTTAGAAGTTTAAAAAATTACTATTAAAATTAATTTTCTATCCGTGTTATTCACGAAGTTTGTTTAAAATTCATTTTTAAATATTTATTAGTAATTAGATCATTAATTTAAATAAATAAATAATCATAATATTATATTGATAATAATTTCTTGTTTTTTTTTTTACAATATAATTAAGAGAAAATTACTTGAAAATTTCACTTTAGAAATCTATATACAGTGAAATCTCTTCTTTTTTTTTTTTATGAAAATGATTAGCAACTCAAATTTGAGTTTACTCGAATGTCTGAATTTGTGCATGCTGGTTTGACTATCCAGACGATTGTCTGGACGACCTGTGAAATACTTTTTTACTGTGGTTATCAACCTTATAAATCTTATCAACCGCGACTGTCACCTTGTTACTAGATAACCAACCGGACAACCAGCAAATCAAAATTCAAGGAATTTGAGCAAGCTAAAATTCGGGCGACATAGCATTTCTTTTTGTTATAGACCAGTAAGTCATGTTCATTTGGAAATAATTTTATGAGATTCTATTTAATAAATTATTGTGTCATGTTATGATGTTTTTGCTTTTATTAATTGTTGGGCTTATTTTTATTTTTGGAATGTGTTACATTTTTCAAACGTGGCTAATAAAGCATTAATGTATTTTCTAAACGTGGCTAATACAGCACAAATAAAAAGGCCCTTTGTACTTTTTCCAAACGTGACTAATATATTTTCCAAAGTGGGCCTTCCAAACGTGGCTGTTATATTCTCCAAATGTGACTAATACAAAACAAATAAAAAAACCCCGTAGTATATTTTTTTTCAAACATGAAATGTGGTTAGTGTATTTTCCAAACGTGCCTAATACAGAACAAATAAAAAATGTCTTAGTACGCTTTTTTTAAACGTGACTAGTACTTTTTTTAAATGTGAAACGTGACTAGTGTATTTTCCAAACATGAGCTTAGTGTATTTTTCAAACATGGCTAATACAGAACAAATAAAAAATGTCTTAGTATGCTTTTTTTAAACATGACTAGTATATTTTCCAAACGTAACTAATACAGTAAATCACATGGGCAAATGTGTCAATTCGCATTCAATGAGACTTTCATGTTCATTAAAATAAAATTGGGACTAATTGATTCACAAGTTCACCTTTGGAGATTTATGGGTCAATCACCCAATAACTAAAAGTGATTGGGATAAATTTACTTACTTTAAATTTGATTTCTTTCATTGTTTACAGTTAATAAGATCTCTTATAATAAACAGAATCCTTCAAATCCCATAATAAAATTCATATATATAAAATTACCAACTCATTGCCATGAAAGTATGAAAAGGAATATAGCCATTGACAAACAATTTATTTTTCTTGATGAGTCCTTATTTTTACAACATCAAATAGATATGGCCAAAAAATAGATAACATTATTCAAAAAAAAAAGGATAACAATATATAGAAATTAAATATATAGCAGCAAGATGATTGCAATATAAAAAATGTTACGACTTTTGTTAGAATTTTTTTCCAATTTTTTTAGAAACAAAACAAAGTTTTTTTTGTTATTTAAATTTCAAATATGATGATCTTAATCGAAAACATATAAAAAAATTTGAGAGAAGAAAAAAAATAATGAAAAAGAAATAATAGAAGAAAACAAAAGATAATACATGCTTTAAGTACCTTTATTATATATATAAAAGTGGTAAGTAAATATAAAAAATAAAAGAATAAATAAGAATATGAAAAGACAATTCGCAAATGACACTTGTCAAATAGTTAGACGAATACGTGTAGAATTTTTAGAGTCTACTAATGAAAGTCTACACTTAGACCATTTTCAACGGTGAACCAAACTTTGCATCAGATTTGAAATTTGGTGAAAAAGTCACTTTTTGGAGCTCCAATGGTTTCACCAAATTGGTATCAAAATAAGAATGGAACAAAAAATTCATCAAAGTGAGAACAGGTTCCAGATTTCACCATTTCACTGTACGTTACCGTTGAGGTGGGCCAACCGGTCAACCAACCGGTTGTCCAACTGGTTGACCAACCGGTCGATCGGTTCCCTTTCAAATAGGTAGGTTCAAACCGGTCAAAAATGTTCAAACAGGTAAAAAAAAAAAAAAAAATTTTGCCTTACCGATCGACCACTTCCCTTTTGATGCACGGTTGGAGCAAATGGTATCAGATTGAGAAAATTGGCTTTTTTTTACTCAAATTTGGTGCAAATTTTGGTTCACCGTTGGAGATGCTCTTATATAAGATATCTTTTCTAATAAAGAGAACGGAAACACTGTGCCTGTTTGGTAAATCTTTTTTTAGCTTAAATCAGTTTTTGGTTTAAATTAAGCTATATTGATATGTTTGGTACAACTTGTAAGGCACAGATTACAGCTTAATTTAAGCCATTTTCAGCTTAAATCTGAAAGTTGCTCCAAGGGTGCTTATAATTTTGACTTAAGCGCGCAGCTGGTGTGGGGGGCGTACAATTACTTAAATGCCCTTGTCAATACCCAAATATTACCAAATACCCGACTACATAAATCCTATTTCACAAAACACTGTTCATTGCTCACTTGAGAGAGAGAGATAGGGGCAATTTTCGACAAAGATTTTCCGGCGAGGGTGATTTCTGGCGGAGGCAAACCACAATTCTCTCTCTTTGCTATCTTTTCTCTCTCTTTTCACGATCTCTCTTCTCTCTCTCTCTCTCTCTCTTACACTCACGATCTGAAACTCTCACCGCCATCGCGATTTGAAACCCTAACCGGAGCATCGCGATCTGGTTGGAGAACTAGAGCTCTCAACAAACCAGAGCGCTCTCTCTCTCTCTCTCTCTCTCTCTCTCTCTCTATCTATCTATCTTCGCAATCTGAAACCTTAACTGGAGCATCGTGATCTGGTCGGAGAACCAGAGCTCTCTCTTTCTCTCTATCTTCGCGATTTGAAACCCTAACTGGAGCATCGCGATCTGATCGGAAAACCAGATCTCTCAACGAACCAGAGCACTCTCTCTCTCAATCTGCGTTGTTTGTCACTGTCGCCGTCGCGATCAGGATCGCGGTTTACATTGAAACCCTAGCCACCGACAGATCTTTGCGGGGGGCGTTGAAATCCTAAAACAAATCAATATTAATTAAAAAATCAATATTAATTGGTATTAATTATTAATAAATTAATATTGTATGCTTTTGTAATGAATTAATTATTAATTGATACTAATTAATAACAATTACAATTGTTGATTATTAATATTAATTGATACTAATAAAAATTAATTATTAATATTAATTTATACTAATTAATAATTTTAGTATTAATTGAGACTAATTAAGCCATTAATTGATACTAATTAATAATTTTCGTATTAATTGTGAAAAAAAATGAAATAATTTTATACTAATTGAAACTATTAATAATTTTAGTATTAATTGATGCTTATTAAGCCATTAATTGCCACTAATTAATTTATAATGAAAAAAAATGAAATAATTTTATACTAATTGAAACTATTAATAATTTTAGTATTAATTGATGCTTATTAATCCATTAATTGCTACTAATTAATTTATAATGAAAAAATGATATAATTTTATACTAATGGATACTATTAATGAAATGATAATTTTTGTAATACTAATTATATTAACGTTTATTAATGAAATAATTTTTTTAAAATTAAAACCGAAAAAAAAAGACAAAATAATCATTTTTATATCATATAAGGGCAAAAAAGACAATTACACAGTAAAAAGTTATTTTATAACTTATTAACCAAACACTACTCTGTTGCTTAAATCCATAATCCCACAGTTGCACCAAACAGGTTAACAGCTTATGTTCACAGCTATAAGCTATAATCTATTAAGTTATAAACTATAATCACTTTTTCTAAACTCTACCAAACAATCCACTTAAAAAATAAATATAACAGTAACGGATGTCTACTACTCCTCATGTACTCTAATAAAAAAATTTAAAAAAAAAGGCAAATTACATATATTTCTTAAGGTTTGATTAAAATATGAATTGTCATTTGTAATTTTAGAAATTATATTTTACCTTCTGAGGTTTCTAATTTCATAATAAATTACTTATTTTATTAATAAATTATCAAATTAATTAACAATTTTTAATAATGTTAAAAATATATTTCAATTAATAATTTGGGTAATTTTATTATTATATAAGAGAATAATTATGAATTTTATTTTTTTAGTTAATTTTGTTAAATAAATTTTTTTAACAAGGGAATATTTATAACTTTTCAAACCATACAGAACAATTTATACTTAAGTAAACCTCAGGGGGTTGTAATTTACCCTTACAAAAAATAGCATAATTTCATGTTTTTTGAATCATAATTTTTAAAAAAAAATCATAACTAAATAACACATGAGTCATAACAAAAAATAATAAAATCATAACTAAAAAAAAATTCATCATAACAAAAAAAAGAAAATATCATAATTTAAGAGGGCATATAAGGAGTATATTATAGAATTTCTCTAAAGATAATCCTTCAAATCCCATAATAAAATTCATATATTTAAAATGACCAACTCATTGGCATGAAAGTATCAAGAGAAATAAGATATTGGCCCTGTTTGGTAGAGCTGTGGGAAAGTACTTATAGCTTATGTCTAAACAGTTTATAGCTTATAACTATGAACATAAGTTGATTTCTGACTTATAAATTAAGCATCTCCTGCCCCACTCAAAGAATAAGCTGATTTCTGACT